CCAACGTGATACTTGCATTAACTGAAAAATCCAAGTTCGAAGTGTGTGTTTGTTTGTTTTTAAATGGCCGGTCCCTTCAGAACATCCCAAGTTGGCGGGCCAACCGATGGTACAGTTGGCGGTTCTTGTGCACCAAGGGGGTGGGGTTAGAAGAGGACGTATGGAAACATGTGATCATCAGCGGAAGGGCCACTTCCGAAGCAAAGCACCCCCCAAGATGGATGCGACGCGCCCCAGACCCCCCCGGACGCGACCATGAGATGTGAGTTGCTGCCCCGTTCAAGGAATCGGCCAAAAAGGACCCGTTGAAGAAGGGCTTGGTGGGAATTCCCGGTGAGTTCTGAGAAACCGGTTTGGCTGGGAAAGAGGAGTACACTTCCTGCAGGTTTGGGATTCTGGGGGTGATTTGGCGGATTTGGGGAGTTCGGTGAAGTCAAACTGCCGAAGGCATGACCATAGGATGGTGAAATCAAACACTAAAGATTGTGAAGAAACGGACACAACAGTTAGTATCCCAGGCAATTGCAGGAAACAGAGTTGTCCAAACTGATATAATGTTTCTACTTTTTTTGCATATACATATCATATACATGTGCATATATACGATATATATATATATACCCCCACCCCTTGTTAAAGAAATCAAGGGGGGGTGAGGTAAAAGAAATCAGCTCCAGTTTCTTTTCCTGATTCCCCTTCCAACCAGGACTTTTAGTTCATGAACACGGACTTAAGCAGACATGCAAAGCCTTTCCATGTCAGACTGAAGTGTCTTGTAACACCATGCAGAACGTGGCTAGAAGCAGACATGCAAAACTGAAGTGTCTTGTAACCAAGGAAGAACTTGTTGCCAGGTGAACAAAGAATTTATTCCTTCGGTGGATGTGAAGTCAACGCGGCCGCGAAACGGGGCTGCACATGAGGGTGAAATATGCGCATATTTTGCACAATCCGTTGCAGCGTGATCCGCTGCCCCAATACCCTGATCCGCTTACGCTTGCCGAGCGTAAGCAGATTGCTTGCTTCCCCTGCATATGTTTTTATATGTGCGATTATTTATGCATATTTCACGCTCAGCACAAATGCCCGGCCGCCAGGATGTCACATCCACAGAAGAAGACAAAATCCCCAACAGCGCGAAAAAGAGACCGGGGCGCTGACCACGTGGTGGGTCGCTGGTGTAATTTCATTGGGAAAAGAATCTGGGGGACCCCCACCCCCCCCTTAAGGGATTGATATATATATATATACACATATTGTTTTATGTGTAATTATCATGCATGCATGCACTTCATGCATGCACTTATTAAAGACCCAGGGGAATGCATGTCGTCACGATGTGCCCGTAGTAAGGCACTTGGCATGGCGTCGACAGAGCCTTGGCCAAAACTTTTTGATTACCGCTGGAGGGTTGGCGGTTGACCAGGTTTTTCTGTTTTTTGCTGATGTCCCCGGAGACTGGTAAAACGGAGGGAAAGTCCAGATAAGGCTCCTGTAAGTGGGGAGCACCGAGTACTGGATCCCAAACCGGGAAAACAGAGCAAGCACACAAGCTTGGCGAGAATAACAGAGAGGAACTAACTTTTGCTAGCAGCTCAGCAATGCAAAGAGATGTAAGAAACGACATGGACCCTCCAAGTATCTTAGAAAATGGGCACAACTATGCATATACAAATGCAATAATACAGGGCTTCGTGTGGCTTTCCAGATGCTGCTGGGCCGGAAACTGTAGAACCGCCAGGCCAGCATGGAGGCGGCCTTCCGTTATTTGGCAGAGGAGATTCGGTGTCTTGGTCGCTGGAGCTTGGGGGCCTGGTGCAGGGGGAGAAGCACACTCAAATACTGCGAAAGGCATGGCATGGTATAGCATGAGTGAGAAAAGGGAGAGAGGAGGTATTCTGGAGTTTCAACTTGATGCCGTCGAGGCAGAGCAGTATTCTGGGAAGATCCATGCAAAGGTCAGTGGTGAATCCAGAACTCTAAGGAATGACAGGGAGCTTATCATCAACTAGGCCACCAACAGGTCTTGATTCACAGAAACAGGCCACCGGAACATGCCTGAAGCTACGGCCTGGGGAAGAATACCTAGTGGATGGGTCGGATAGGGGTTCCCCAAGACCCTATGGCATGGCCTTTCAGCAGTGATTCTTGCATGACATGGCAATGGTTGACGAGTGGTACGTGCAACTCCGTTGTGATCCTAGCTATGTTTGGCATACATGGTGCAGCACGTATATAGACAGTGCGCCATTCTCATCAACATGCACATACATGTACACACACATACACACATACACGTACATACCATACCATACCACTACATGATATACATTACATTGCATTACACTACACCCTACTATAACTTTACATGACATTACATCACACATCACATCACATCGCATCACGTTTTGTCTACAGCCACCTGCTCCTTCCTCGTCCCGCCGTCCATGCCCCCTTTTTCGCCCATCTCTCGCTGTCGAGGCAAGAGATGCGCACGGAGATGATGAAGGTGGTGGAACGTGCCGCTTCCTCTTGTGCGTCGATTTGTATGGATCGCCCCTCGAACGGAAAAACAAAAGACACACGGACTTGGTGCTGAAGGTGCTGCGAGACATAAAGACCGATGATGATCCATACGGGGAATATGTGCGGTAGTCAAAGAGCGTGGAGAATCAGATGGGACCCGGGTTGTTGTGAAGTGCATATTCATGGTATAGTTGTTATTTATTGTTCTTTTTGGGGGGGAGGTGTTTTTGGACCAGTTAGGGGTGTACGTTCCTATTTTTTCGGTGCTGTGCGTATGATTGCCTTGCAATCCCACAAATTCCAAGGTTCCTTTCAGACCTCATCATTTGGCAACGCATTTGCGAAGATGTGGTGATTCTCGCTGTTCCAAGGGGCTTTGGCCTAGGATGCGCAATGCTATGGAATATATTACTATATGTAAGCTGAAAAACAGACATGTACAATGTACAATCAAACATTTATATATATATATACTGTAGTTATATAACATGCATGGCGCGCATATAAATAGAACCCATATTGGACACCTGCTGCTTTGATCAGACAACCCAATCTTGTGGACTGCTGGTCCTCCCAAAAGCGGCTCTTTTTGGACGTCTCTTTCCTTTCAAGCCGCCTCGGCTGAAAGCTCGCTCGCGCTCGACGGGTCGGGTCGGGTCTCAGACGGGTCGGGTTTTCACAGCGCGACAGCGGGGGTTCAGACGGGTCCGAACCCGGTGTGGCCCAGGAATGCAAGCGCTCCGGGCTGAACTGCTGTCGGAGTTTGAGGCCCGGGCGGTGGCGCGGTCCGGTTCGATGGGCAGTGAGTGGGCGAGAGTGAGGGCCGATGTCGCGCATGAGAACCGACATGGCGTGGTTTTTGCCCAACTGACCTTGGGAATGCTAACAAAATTGCGTATATATAATATACATGTACACCCGGGAAAATTAACATGGAACCTCACAACCACTGGGTTGTATAGAGAACAAATGGTATTCCAAAGGTCCATTTTCAGGGTCCATGTTAATTTTCCCGGGTGTATAATGTAGAATATTGAGGTCCGAGCTCATAGAAGTTCATGACCCCCACCTGGTTGAACTGGAGATTCACCTTAATTACACCGGGTTGATGCTAAAAGCATGTGTCTTGGAACTCTCGAAAGAGCTTCTTCGAAACCGCCCTCCTCCAGGAAGTTGCCCAGAACAAAGGCACCAGTAACGAAGCTGCCCAGGAGGCCTGGTGACGTCGTGACTTTGTTCTTTCAACCTGTTTAGGCGGTTTATGTTTACGGCCTTTGTGAACTTGAGGAACTGCCAGAGGCTTGATTCGTTATTATTTCCTGAGTTGTTTTTGTCATTAAATTTGTCCATGGAAGGTATACGAGCATGAAAGAATCGCTTTAATCAATGGACCGACCTGTTTGGTTTTGGGAAATCCGCATGAACAGGCAGTGAACGGACCATTTTTCGGTGTTTTACGGTGTTCCTTCGAGCTTCCGTTCAACTCTTGCATCCTGACGAATTGAAGCGGAAGAACCTTGCACATTCGCCTTTCTCGCGCAAGAGCCCAACAGCATGAGAAAACTAGGTGGTTTCGGAGAGTTCTATGTTCAATCTTTACTTTGGATGATTGATCCCACTGAGTAGTTATGTTTCAAGTGACTTGAAACCACCACCCAGATTAGAAAGACGGATGTTGGCTCCCATGTTGGCACGCGCCCCTTCCAAGCTGGAGACGGTTTGATGATCAGAATGACACGCACCAGATGCGGTATGGCGGGACCTGATGGGTTTCAGTGGCGACGTTGCCGTGATGGGTTTGAGTCGCCCGCGACGTAGCTCCGGCCAAACACCAACCCAACTTGACCTGAAAGAGTAAATGACAATCGTTGAATCGTTGAGCAATGTGTCAAACTGCAAACACTCATACAAGTGAGATGTAGAGCATCCCTGCTACGCCCGGCTCGCCCGCCAGGTGCGACGGCGAACCAGCTTTTACGAGCTCTACTCTGATGTGACTTGACTGGTGACGAAGTGGTGCTTTACTTCCCAACTTCCCAAAAATCCCGCCCTGAAGTAGGAGCAACCACAGACAATTCAATCGACTTGGCTGAAAAACTCTCAACACGTAACCATCACTGGGATTGTTGGGGCGGGATTTGTTTGGGGTACCAATTCACTGAAAACGGGAGTGGGCACCAGTAGACGTCAATGAACAGCTGCAGCAATAATTACAATATATCTATCATTCACAAGATACATAGTAGTCAAACATATATATCATATGTGTGGATCTCGTTTCGGATCTCGCTCGGCCAGCAAAATCCGCCGAGGACGTGAGGATGGGTTGCTGGGCGGTGGTTGGAGCCGACGGCTTCGGCTTCGGAGTCGGAGAAGGAACGGCCGAATGGATCCCTAAGACCTACCAATCTTCCAACGATTGATTGGAGGATTGGAGCTTCCCCACTTAAACAAGAACAGAATGCAACAAGGTTGACCTGTAATTGTCCAATGAAACGGCTTGGAGTCAATGTCAAGACCACCTCAACAATAGCCACATTCCGACTTGCCAGATGCATCCAGACTGCGCATGGTGCGCAGGCTGCGCAGTTGTTGTGGGTTTGAACCTGCAACAGGTGGCAGTGTTCAAGACTGAGCAGCTCAGGTAGCAGCTCAGGTACCAATGTCAATGGTGAAGAGTGCAAGGTAGCAGCTTGTTTTCTGGACCACAGACCCAAGGGGGTTTCAGTCAAGGGTGGTGATTTTGTTGGTGGAACTCCAGCGCAGTGTCAGCACAGGAGTTCGAGGAAAATTGTTTTGGAAGAAGCTTTGTGACAGAGATCCCGCCATTTTTTGAACCTGTGAAACTGAAAGAGCCCCACTTGGGCAAGATGAGTGATGTTCCATGCCTGTTTGGTTTTTAAAGGGCCAGAAACGATGCATTTGCAATTGTTCTTGGAATACTTGAGGACTGTTTGCCCACCACGTTTCTGAAACGAATGTAGATGTAATCACCAAGTTGTGCCATCTACTATGACCCGTTGATGTTCTGGAAGATTGCTCCTCAAAGCAGGCAGCGTTTCTGCACCCCCCGCATTTCCACACGCTATTGAACTGCACCAGAGTGAGAATTTGCAATACTGCCGCAACTCCCACGCAGAGACCCCCGCGGCCTTCCCTATCCAGTGAGAGTGGTACGTTGTTTCTTCTCACCCAGGTGTGCTAGTTCCACCAGATTCTCGGTCGTTCGAAGTTCTATCCCAAAGGCTTTTCGAGGAGAGGCGGTCATCCCCAAAAGCCATCATCATTCCTTTAAATGGTCTCAGTGACATACGCGTCGTCAGACGTCGCCCTTTTCAGCCGATTTCAGCCTTCGAAAGAACCGACCCTTGCTTCGAAGCTGCAGAGGGCTTCTGGGGTGGGGTGTCAGAAGATCCAAACCGGGGGGGGGAGATGGAGATACACTCCCGGACAGAACGTCCTCATGGTGGAAGTGGATGGCATTGCCCAGAATTCGGATGACCCTGAAATCCGAAGACCAGAGCAGGTGGCACAGTGTCAGGGAGTGTAGTCAAAAGGCATGACAAGTAAATGTGTGATTTCTTCAACCCAAATTACAAAATACGGAGACGCACGGGATATTTGTTGGAAGAGATAAACTCTTGATGTACTCAGCCTCTTCCAAAGAAACCCTGTTTGTGCCTCCTTTTCCAGCTGTATTCGGTCGGTGGCGGGGACATCGACGTGTTTGCAGTATATGAGGTTCAGATCAGGAGGATGATGGCGAGGACCTTGCCAAGCTCTACGAGCATTTGGATGCCCGATCGGCAAGATGTTTGGGTCCTTTCCTTCACGTTTGTTTCGGTCCGGTGGTGTTTCCCACACCCAGACACGACCTGTCTGGGACTGGAAGAGGACTGCCGCCCCATGTAGGGCCCTTTTCAACCAACCTCAACCAACCACCCCATGGGACTGCAGCCTTACAGCCTTAGATGAAGTGTTTGGGAGGCTAAGCCCTTTCGAACCATCCTCATCTGGGCCGGTCTGGGCGGGGCACGGCTCAAGTTACAAGGCCCTGATAGAATCATGGACGTGGAAAAAAACACCTCTTTGGTCTTCTGAAAAAGGGCCATGACTCGGGCCCATGACACAGGCCCATGATTGCTTCAGGGGTAGTGTCACCCAAAATGGGGGGAGAGTGTCTTTGTTTTGAGAGGAACCTTTCTGGGAGCGTCCCAACGAACGCTTCTCTTGCCGAACGCTGGCGCGAGTGGAAGCAGCACAAGCTGGCTCCTGGAAGCAGCCGCTGCAGATCCTCGCTTGGTTTGGTCGGAGGCGTTGTTCTCCACCGAGGAGAAGTGTGCCCGGCGCCGCAGCAGTGCGCAGCTTGGTTCCGGTGGATTGGCCCAAGGCAGGGGCGGCTGGCTGTTGAGTAGAGCTGTGGCTTTTTCAAAGTCGATGGATACACAAGTGGTTTCAGAGGTGGCACTGGTACTCCAATATGCGACTTGGGATGACTTGGGGATGGTGGCATCTACTCTCTGAAACCGTACCTGCCACACAAGCGCCGGCTGAGGTTAACATCAATCGTGTTCACCTGATTGAAAAAGCCCCACGTGCTAGTCACAGCTATTACAGTAGTCACTGATGTATACAATTGTATACACCATTAAATGCGATAAGCCTTTGGGTTTTGGCCAGGTGTAGGATGCTTCCCCGACATGTTTGTGCAGCAGAGTGGCACAGCCCAGTGACTTCAGGGAAGTAGTACTTACTGTAATAGTACTGCATAAGTTTGTGCGATGTCTTTTTTTCCCATGTGTTTTCCACACATGTGAAGCACATAAAGAACACTGTATTGTTTTGTGGGTACGGAGTGGGCATTCATGCCTACAGATAGAATGTACAAGAAGAACCAAGAAGAGCAGGGAATCAAACCTTGATCACCCACACATTCACATCGCCCACAAGCTACGGCAATAGTTGATGCAGCGCAAGCCAACTGCACTGCCTGTCCCCCGTTTCAGACATTCAGTAGCATGTGCTTTCCATTTTTGTTCTCTTCTTCATTGATTTCCTCATTCTGAAGGTTCCACAATAGAAGTGCTAGGCTGTTAGAGTGATATAACTCCCAGTTGGACTTTAGCTGGCACAACACTTTCCCGTGTGACGTGCCACTGGACGTTGCTGGATGTCGGAAGTGCATCTGGAACCCTACTTCAAAGTTAGATTGACCTTGCCAGCTAGGAGGTCACATCAGATGATCATGCTCCACACAGAGCAGGCGGCTCAGCTGTAAATCGATGTGCTTACACGCGCCAGGCTTGTTGAATCTACCCGGACAGGCTACCGACATCAAAAGCACCTAAGCTGAAGGGTGGGAACCTTTTTTCTTGCAGGTCATAGCCCGTAGCTGTGCATGAGCATTACATTGGATGATAGCTGAGCTAAATCATGCGATACATCCTAGTGTACAATGGTTATGCAGAGCATGGAGGGACTTGCATTTACCTTCCAGTATATAAATACATACTGATGCTAGAAGGGAAAACCATGTATGTGAACGTATGTGAGAGGCTTGCATGCTTGTTGATGACTTCCCTTGAAAGGTTCCGTTGTTCCTTGCCAGGGATGAACACACCCCCTTTCGCCTCCAATATATGGCTCCACCCCAATTGCAATGCCCCCATCAGACCAGATAGGTGCTTCATGCAGCTGCAGCTGCAGCTGATCATGCGTCCAATCGTGCGGCGGGCGTTCGGTGTTTTTCGCGTGAAACAGCTAATTCAACTGAAAAACAGCTGAATAAACATCCTGGTGTCGTTGAGCTCCATGTTTGTTTGTGCGAATGGAAGTGCAGCGACACGTACAGTGCAACTTGTACATATATATGTACCATATGTACTTTGGCTCAAGGATCAAGCGACTAGAAAAGGTGCGGTTTCCGTTCCGACGCTACGCCGCTTATGGACCGTCAGTGATAGCTTCAAACTTCGCTGATTAAGATCCACTCGCAGGTTATCAGCCGTACGCGCTCTTTATAGCCGTGCGAGCTACACGAGACCAAGAACAAGACTAGTCATTACAGAAACCTGCAATGTCAAGCTCAGGAGGAAATGGAAGCGAACCCTATTCATTCGCTGCTCCTGGTGGTCCCAACACCATTTCGTCACCAGACTCTACAATGGGTACTGATTCATCAGCAAATGCTGACGTTATCACTATGCCTACTGGATCACAAATCTCGGAAAGATCCGTGCCACCGGCTCGGAATCTGACCGATCTTGCACCCGTAGGACCAAGAAGATCGATGAGAGCTACAACAAGATCTACATCGCCTATAACGTCTACCGCGAGATCCCCGAGAAGGAGTATAGAGAAGAGACGTGACGATGATAGAGGAACAAAAGAGCAAAGAAGAGAGATTCAGCTGGGTGAAGAATTGAGATCGGCGAGAAACGCATACAATTTTCTTCATGAAGAATATGAATGCATCCAAGCCGGATACTCACGACTACACCACGAGGCTGAAGTGGAGTTCAGGCAAATGTCTGACTACAACAGGAAGATGCAGGAACATCTACAAGAGGTGACACAGGAAGATGAAGGAGCGACAATAAGAATTGAAGAGCTCGAACACAAGCTACGCTTGGCGGAATCGACAGCTGAACATATCTACATGAGATATCAAGAGCTTGCGCAAGAAACTCATCAAGAACATTCAGAGCTTGAATCTGTGAAAGCAACGAAGGACAGAATGTCCCAAGAGCTTCAAGCAGCAATTGGACACATCCAAGAACAGAATGAATCTTCATTGGCGACCAATAGAAGATCAAAAGCCATTCAGGATGAGAACACAGCCTTCGTCGGAATAGCTGACCAGATACAAGCTAGAATGATTGCGCTACAGGATGAGAATGTCAACATGCACGAGGTGATCCAACACCAGAGAGAAGAACAATGGAACAGTGAGGTCAGGGAAAGACGTCTTCAACACAGTGTTCACTCATCTCAAGATCAGAGCAATCAGGAAGCTATGGTTATTGATCATCTACGAGGTCAACTAGCTATGGCACGTGGAGCTGAACTCAACGCGAGAGCGGAGATAGAAGAGATGGAAGTGGGCATGAGGATGGAGATATTTGTATGCCAGACTGAAGTCTCTGCTAAAGAAATGGCAGAAATGAAGGCGAGCCACCATGAATACGAAGCAAACGTCGCAAAGGAGGTTATAGCAAAAGGAGAAATATTCAACAACGAAGTCCTAGAAGGTTCCATCCGTGAACGACAACAGTTGAAAGACGCCAACCTCGCTCTATCCGAAGCCAACGCACAGCTGAAAAGAGAGAATATGATGAGAGCTCCTATGTTCGGCGATGATGGTGCTGAAATTCAACAGAAGATCAGAGAACTGGAGAATGCACTATTGGAAAGCCAGAAGGAGACAAAGAATGTCATTATGGAAAATGCGAAATTAAAAGCAGAAGCACGAATGGCACCCATAGTCTCTCGGTACAGCAAGCGTCCTAGTTCCAGAGACCGCGGGTTACCAACCCACGCGTCCGAGGAAGATGAGATTCGGAACGCAAAAGAGGAGGCGAAGCACTACAAGGACGGGTACAATGAAATGACAGAGAGCCGAGATGAGATGTATGAATGGTATGCCGAAACCCACAATGAGTACGCCGAGGAAAGGGAGAAATCAATTGAGCTATCCGAGGCGAACAAATCATTGAGGGACAAGATTTCAGAAGCAGAAGCATCCTCTTCATCTCATCTTGCACCGGCAACCTCTACAATCATGAAAGTATCGAGGAAGGAAGAATCAAAGATAAACGTTCCGTCATGGCCCAGGATCAATGATCTTGGACTATGGAAGGCAAATCTCATTCAATCGATCATCATTGCGGCCAATGATTCAGATCAAGAGCCCTGGATCGACTGGATCAAAGAAGCCATGGACGATCCTGATCCGGACAAGTTTGTCGACTCAGGAGACCAAAGATTCCATTCAATCGATGCCAAACTCGGCCTAGCTCTTACCAAGGTCGTCATGGATGCGAAAGATGATGGTTCAGGTGTAGCTATGAAGTTGAGGACGAGGATCAATGCAAAAGGGAGAACATCAAGCCTCATAAAGGGAAGAGAGGTCCTAGCCCTGATCCTTATGAATTTCAAGACAACATCAAATGTGGAGGTCTTATATACTTCAATGCACCTCTACCAACTAGAATATCAAGGAGACAAGAACTTATCGTTGTTCTTCCACACTTGGGATGAGATTCTGGCAGGAATGAAGCCCGTTGACGTCCCGAGCGACGAAACTCTTCGGGATCTCCTATGGAGAAAGATCAGGAACTCAAACCTCATGGCATACGACATCAGCGCCTACAACAGCATGAACGACGATGATGCCAAGAAGACATACAAACATCTACGTGATATGATCAGAAGGCACATCGAACGGCAAACTGAAGACAGGATGATCCTGGAAAAGGAGAAGGCAGTGAAGAATGTGGCCAATATCTTTCAGAATCTCAAACCAGGCGGACCTGCTCCAAAACTGAAAGCTGCACCAGCTGATCCGAAGAAGAAACCAAAAGGGCAACAAGAACAGGTTGTCTCAGAAGACGCTGCTGCAGTGAAGCCGAAACCCAATCCCAAGAAGCATCCTGAAGACAAGAACAAAAAGGGAAAGGGGAAAGGTAAAGGTGATGGAAAGGATCGCAGCCGAAGTCCGAGTACAGACAAGAAGAAGATACCATGCAAATACTTCGTGAAAGGTAACTGCACTATGGGGAAAGATTGCCCATTCAGTCACAAGAAACCCAGATCACCATCCAGAGGATCTTCTGTCGGAAAGAATGACAAGCCAGTATGTTGGATGTGGATTCGAGGAACTTGTGACAAAGGGAAGGATTGCAAGTTCTACCATGACCCAAAAGCCTCTCCTAAGAAAGGGATATCTGCACCAGCTGATTCAGGAGACGATAGGCCAAAGCCCAAGGCAAAACCCAAACCGAAGCCTAAGGCGAAGCCTGGAGCCCCAGCCATTGACGGTGAACTCTTCATGGACGAATCCGAAGATGAAGGGATTGCTGCATCCGCCAAGGCAAGAGAAGGAGGTGCAAAAGTATCCTTTGATGAAGAGACTTGTGAGATCATGTTGAACGAAGCGATCTACTCAGTCAGGAACAAATGGAAGGTAGTAGAAAGGAAACCTCTACGTCCAGACATCAAACGATACGATGAGAAAGAGCTCACCTGCTACACGAGGAAAGAACAAATCAGATTTGAAGAAAAGGTCGCAGAGGCAAGAGGCATATTGATGGTCCCCTACACTGAGATCAAGAGGGTCCGAATACCAGTTGGACCAAAGGGTGACCTAGCGGTCACTATGTCTTTTGACGAAGATGACGGCCTAGTTTTCCATCATAAAGTCATTCCTCATGTATGCGAGGGAAAGAAAGATCATGCAGACACAAAGACATTGTCTATTCCAGCCAAAGGGTCAAGAACAAAGTTCATCATGGACACAGGATGTGGGTATGATTTGATATCGAAAGGCAGAGCCAAGAAATTAGGTCTGGAAGTGAGAGAAAGCGACCAATCAATGTCATTCTATACCGCAAATGGAGTGACATCCAGAAAGGGAGTCGCCGACATTCATTTCGACGAATTTGACTCTACCTACTCCCCATTCGTCTTAGATGAGTCTCCTTCAGTACTGTCTGTTGGAAAGAAATGCATGGAGGAAGGTTACACATTCATATGGCCAGCCTGCGGCAACCCGTACATGGTTTCCCCGAACTACAAGAAAATCATGTTAGAAGTAGAGGGAAACATCCCATATATTGTCAAGGGCAGTGACTTCTGTAACCCCACCGACGATGTAAGGGCGGAGATGATCGCAAGGTTCACCCTAGGAGAAGGTGAAGCTGATTACCAATCGGCTTTCATCAACTGTGATGTGGATCCTCAAGGCGTCATGTGTGATGATGACGACCTCCCTGTGATTGAGCCTCCAAAAGTCAAAAGACAAAGAGGAATAAGAAGTTCAAGGCATCTCCTGGAGAAGAAGATGAGGTAGGATCAGATGTCGCCGGAGACAGTGAACCAGAAGCTGACGATGATGATGCAGATGACATCGAGGTGGATATTGTTGACGGTGCAAGTAGAATGGTGAGAAGAGGAACTCTGAAAGCAGATGCCAGGAAAATCGAGCATCTACTCACACATCGTTACAAGAATCCCTACTGTGAGTCATGCATCAGAGCAAAGATGAAACACTTCAAGACGCATCGAGGAGCGTTCAAGAGAAAGCTCAAAGCTTTTGGAGATCTGGTTACCTTTGATTTTGT